GCTCCCGCCAGCTGCTACTCACCACTTCCTTCAGTGTTGTACCTCATTTGCATATAAACTTTTGGAGCATCCCAGGACTCATGACAAGACCACCCAGACATAAGTGGGCGCTAATTAGCATACAGATCATTTGTGGGGGGGTATCTGGAGTGCACACACACATACTAAGCAGTGCTGAGCTGTGGACTCACTGTGGCTTGAAATGCTGTTGATTCTGGTGGGGCCCAGCCCAATGAGCTATGTGGTAAATCATGAGCCTTTGGTTTTTGACTAATATACATAATTTGTCCTATATATAAGTAGGTGCCAAAGTGCTGCTCAAAACCGGGTTTATTGTGTACCTGTGCTAAAACTTGCAGCTGTTTAAAAAAAAAAAAAGAGAGAAATGCATCAATTCTGGATAAACTAACTGCATGGATACTATATGCAAAGTGCTATAGCCATGTTTAGTTTCAAGGTTGTTGTTTTCAAATTTGCTCCTTACTTCCACGTACTCAGGGAGAGCAGGGTCTAACAGTAAGGAGTGGGGGAAGAGGTTGCCAGGGGAAAAAGTTGGGGGAAGTAGAGAGCAAAGGGGCTACCTGACACCCCAGATTTCTAGCAGTAGGAGAGGAGCAAATTCAAGGCAGACCTCCAATAATTAGATTCTATATCTGGAAAATTATAACAAATTTATAAATTTTCCATATATACAATCTAATTATTGGGTGCTGTCTTCTATTTGACTAAATATGGTATTTAACCTAACAACACTAGTAATTGCCCGTGACACTTTTTCTCTACAGAGCTCAAAGCAGAAAGTCTCATTTTATGGGAATAAGAAAGTAAACAGAGAAAGTGAGCCTATGTGACTTGCCCCAAATCACCCACAAGTTAGTTGCAGAGTAGCATATCCAGATATCCAGGTCATCTTACTCCCAGAATTGTGCCTATAGCTAGTTGAAACATTTATCAAAGTTTTCCAGGGGAAAATGTCTTCTTCTGGGTCAAAATAGACAATCTGCAGAAATCTCTATTTTGACCAGTTTTGTGATGTTTTGTTGATTCCCCCATTCCAAAGAAAAACCAAAAAAACCTGTTGCAGTTGTTGGTTGATATTGTATTGCAGTGGGGTGCACAGAAGAAAAGAGTTTATATGTTTTCATTGAAAGCTCTCACATTTTTAAGAGTTTAAACAAAAATGAAAACTCTCTTGTTTTTTTGTCAGCTTTGTTTTGTGTGAGCAACAATCACTTCCTGACCAGCTCTAGCAGTTCCCCACCCAATGGACTAAGTTGCCTCTCACATTCAGTGAAACTGGTCTTTTTGTAGGGCCAAAAGAGGCCTCTCTTTCCATGTTGTCTCAAACTTGAGAAATGTTTATAATATGACAAAGCTTTTTGTGTTCTGATCCTATGAGTAAGAAGACTACGATGTTCAGGCACTGCTCTTACTAACTGGATTAGACTTGCTTGAGAGGAAAAAATTCTCGTGGTTGTTGTGTTATTCTCAAAAGACCAAGGAGTTAAATTTAAAAAATGATAAAGCTTGTTTATTCAAAGTGCCTTCTTAGCCTACTGATCTGCTGTCCCTCCCTGCAATTCCCTGGCCAATGCAACAACTTGTACATAACATTCTTAAAGGTATCCATATACCTTCCCCTTTTACATGTAACATATCCCCATGTAATACTAACATTGGAAGTCTAATTCAACCCATTGTTAAAGCACATTTTAACAGGTCTCTATTAGTCTGGGCATTTATAGACATTCTCGAAGAGGGGGCGGGGAGGGGAGGAAATGCTTTAATTAGCGAGTCGCGCTAATAAAACTACCCGAACGTCACGTGTATCAGCATCCCTGCGCTGAAAAATGGCAGCAGGGTGCTTTGAACTAAAGCTCATCAAACAAACTTTAGTTTAAAGCACCCCACCACCATTTTCCAGCATGAGGACACTGATGGATGTGAATGTGTGGTTAGACTGTTTCCTTTGGTGAATCTCATGATGCTGCTTCTTTTCTCCCCTTTACGAGCTGCAAGCGTCATCTATTTATTCTTAATACTTGTCTGTCCAGTGTGACTACTTGATAGGATCTGGGAGATACTTGATGGGAAACTAGTGTTTTTTGTTTCCACATTCATCTGTCTGAAATAAGCACCATATCTTTGCTGTGAAGTTGAGGTAACTCCCTGGAACCCCTGTCCTAGTACCATTTTTATTTGTTTGTTGAATTTTTAAATGTTTTCACATATTGCTTTTTATTCTGATGAGCATCATCCAGATTTGGCCAGATTTGGTTTTGAGTTTCCTGTTAAACAGCATTTCTGCTGGGGACAATAGGTGTTTCCCTGCAATTTAAGTGTGACAGGTAAACATCAGTATGTGAATCTATAGCTTTTTTCAACAATGTCTTCACGATTTGTATTCCATTTTCCACAAAACCTCTGGATTGTGGGTATTTAGGATTTGAAGTGTTGTGATGGAATCCATATTTTTTTACAAACTCTTTAAACTCAAAACAGTTGAATTCAGGTCCATTGACTATTCTCACAATTTGTGGAATCCCATGTCTAGCAAAAATGGATTTCGTGTGAGTTATGACATGGTTTGCTACCGTGCTTTCGAGCAATGCAGTTTCAGGATAGCGGGAATAATAATCCAGCACCAATACATGTTTTTTCCTTGCACAAATGAATAAATCAATGCCTGCTTGATACCACAGACCTATGGACTCCTCCATGACCATCGTAGGCTCTTTTCTTTGTGCTGATCTGTACTTCAGGCATGTTGTACAAGCCTTTACAGTATCTTATATGTCATTATTTATGCTGGGCCAATAAATATAGAGCAACCCTTGCTCTCCTTTTGCATTTTTTCAATGCTCCTCATGTATTCTGTTTAACATATATTTCTTTAGCATTGCTGGAACAACAAGTTGTGAGCCTTTGAACAAAATGCCATCCACTACTAACAGTTCTTCCTTGAACCAAGAGTAGAGTCTAGGTATGTTTTTCAAGACAACCAGCACAAATAGCTGTTATCACTTTTCGCAATATGGTGTCCTGAACAGTAGCTTCTGCAATTAGTGCCCACATTTTATCTGTGGCAGGTATCGTTCTTTTAATGAGACTTAACATGTGCAGTGACTGAGTCTGACATTCTGTCATTTTCCTTTGTGTCATAGGCTCTGGGCAAAGTATCTGCAGTAAGTAGATGTTTTCCTGGCATATACTATATGTGTAGATCATACATTTCCAGTTGAAAGAAATGTCTCTGTAACCTGGGTGGCATGACTAATAACCCTTTTTATTGCTATAGTTACCAAAGATTTATGATCAGTTTCACTGATGATCAAGGCCCCTGTGGTGAGGGAGGGAGTGGGGCTGGGGCAGGTGCTGCACAGCCAGGGCAGGGCATGGGACGAAGCCATGAGCGGCTCAGCCAGAGGCTACAAGGAGGGGGGTGGCTCCCACTGCTGCGTACACCACGGGAGGGCATGGGGAGGGTGTGCCCCCAGATCTGCACAAGGGATGAGGGCAGGCTGCTTCTGTGGGGGGGAAGATCAAGGCCCCAGCAGTGGAGGAGGGAGTGGGGCTAGGGCAGGGGCTTTCCAACCAGGGTGGAGCAAAGAATTGAGTTGTGCAGGGGGGTGGCCCCTGCTGCTTTGTGTACCCCGGGAGGGTTTGGGGGCATGTGCCGTGGATCTGCATGCAGGGCATGGGTGGGCTGCCACTGCAGCACCAGGCTCTTCCTAGAAGTGGAGCTGGGCCGGGCTGCGATGGGGACGGGTGGTGGTGGCGCTGGGAGGGAGGGTTCATAGATTCATTGATTGTAAGGCCAGAAGGGACCTCAGAAGATCATCATGTCCAGCCCCCTGCACCAAGCAGGAACAATAACTGGGGGTCACGTGATTCCAGCAAGGTGACTGTCTAGTCTCCTCTTGAAGATTTCCAGGGTAGGTGATTGCAGCACCTCTGGAGGAAGCTTATTCCACAGTCTCGACATCCTGACTATGAAGAAGTTTTTCCTAATGTTGAGCCTGAATCAATCTTCCAGGACTTTGTGGCCATTACTCCTA